CTAGTGGTACCAACCCAATATTTACACTCGCATGCACATACTACAAAAATGAAAATTTTCTTAACATATGCAGTAACGCAATCGAATAAACTGAAAGTTTCGTTTCACCTTTTTTAAACTCTAAAAAGAATTAAATTTGTGAAAAAAGTCTCATAACATTATGTATTGAAAATCAAACTCGAAAGGATTACGTTAAAAATTGATCTATTTACATCACGCTAACGACCGAACCGGAAAAGCGTCATCAGAATTAAGCCACTTATGACCCTGACTGTATTGTGACCTCAGCCTCCACTTTTCTCTTATCGACTCGTCCGCCATCTTTAGAAGTCATTCACCAAAATTTCCCATTGGGCTTAACGATTTGACGACCACAAACCCACGTTTTTTTTTAAAAAATAGCTTGCTATGTTAGTTACCTCGCGAAGCGTTCAAACAGAAAAGGCAGAACCACCTACGTTTTTTTTTTCAAATAGCTTGTTATGTTAGATACCTCGCGAATATAGAAGATTCAATCCACCTACGTTTTTTATTTAAAATACCTTGCTATGTTAGATATCTCGCGAATATAGAAGACTCAACCACCTACCTTTTTTGTTTTTTAATAATAGCTTGTTATGTTAGATACCTCGCGAATATAGAAGGCCCAACCACCTACGTTTTTACAAGTTTTATTTTTAAGTAGTTTGATATGTTAGATACCTCGCGAATTTTTCTAATCGAACGCAGTAGGCTGAATCACCCACGTTAAGTAGCTTGTTATTTTAGATGCCTTCTAACAGGAAGTGGAGGGCGGAACCTCCCACAGGGGAGAAAACTCCAAAAATTTTTACTCTGACGAGGCACGTGATTGAACTAAACTCAATGTGCAATAAAAATCAGACGTAGGCAGAACAGTGGCCCTTCTTTTTGGGCGATTCAATTTTAAACCAGCTCAATCTGATGGATTAAAAAAAAAAAACAGGGACTCACTTTTTAGAAACTGCAAAATTTAAGATGTCAATTACAAAACTTACAAGGCTAATTTTATATAACGTAATTACCCATTCTTTGAAGTACCACGGCATTCTACTCTGCCTATAGCCGGTGCCCAGCTGAGCTAAGACAGGCAGCAGGAAGCCCCCCCCCCCTCACCCCTGTAATGTCAACCCTCTTTAAGATTCTTTCATCAGATCAGGCAGTATTAAATGTTACTACTCGTCTTGTGAGCTATCCTTGGCTTTAAGATGTGCTAATCTACTGATGTGGGTTAGTTGTTGATGTTAAGTCTGCAACACATTGGGACTAATCTTTACTTTAATCTGGTATTTCTTTCTAGAAATAGGTTTCTTTCAGTGTAGCAGATCTTAAACATCTTTCAGATATAATTTTCGCAGGGGTGGCATTTGAAACTTTAGAGGGGGGGGGGCGCGTTTCGGTTTTCAAGGGAGTGGAGGAATCTGGTTAAAGTATATTGCCTACTAAACACTCAAGTCATTGTATTTTACAGAAAGGGTTTTCACAATGGCCAGTGCAGGGCCTGGCCGGGACGGCTCATATATGTATATGAAAAAGGCAGTAAAAAACCAGTAACGTATTAAACTAGCTAAGGGCAAGCTTATAATTGAAGTTCTTATTATGCATATATATATATATATATATATATATATATATATATATATATATATATACAGCGTTTTTTTGTCACTCACCTCCTCCAACCCCAATACCAGTATACGCTTCTGAAAAAGCTTGAGGAAAAAAACTAAAAGAGAAAATAAACTGCGAACTTAACAAATAGTAGTTTTTAAAAATGGTGGTCACTATTCTCTAAGGGCACGGAACAATGCTTGGTTTAAATGCGAAAGGATGGTGTTTTTGAAACGTCTAGGTGTGTGAGTCAGCGGAAAGTACAAATTGTTCGTCTGGCTGTTAATTCGTTAAAAGCTACTCTGTTGAAATAACATTGTTATTTTTCTCTAACATCAGCTGTTATTTTTGTCTAATATCAACTGTTATTTTTGTATAACATCAGCTGTTATTTTTGTCTAATATCAACTGTTATTTTTGTATAACATCAGCTGTTATTTTTTTATAATATCAACTGTTATTTTTGTATAATATCAACTGTTATTTTTGGTATAATATCAGTTGTCGTTTATAGGTATAACATCTATTTTTTTATAACACCAGCTATTATTTTTGTATAAAATCAGCTGTTATTTTTTTTATTAAAATCAGCTGTTATTTTTTTATAAAATCAGTTTTTTGGTTGTTTAAAATCAGCTATTATTTGTATAGTATCAGCCGTTATTTTTTAGAACATCAACTGTTATTTTTGCATAACATAAATTATTATTTTTGTATAAAATCAGCTGTTAATTCTTTAATAACATCTGCTGATATTTTTGTATCATTACTGATAAAGAAAACAACCCCCTTATTGTTAACATTTTCAAGCAGAGCCTACTTAGAATGTGAACAAATGGAACGCGAGGCTATCATAATTCAAATGGAATATTGAAGAGTGAACTCCCTTGGGTGGTCGCTATTTGAACGTTATTTTTGCTGTATGGAAACATTCAGAAAAAAAGAAATATTGGTAACGTATAGTGGCTACTTTAGTAGGTAATGTGATGGTAAAATACGGATTATATAGGGTGGTAAATTATTGCGACGAAACACGGGGTAAATATTTTTCGTAAAATATCGTGGTAAAATATGTTAGTAAAATAAGGTAAAAAATGTATGTGAAAAAAAAGGGTGTTAAAATAAGGTATTAAATGTAGATGTAATACAAAGATTAAATATGGTGGAAACTATTGTGGTAAAATATGTTGGTAAAAAAGATGTTAAAATAAAGTAGAAGAAATTGAAGTAAAATATTATTTTATACGTTACTAGAAAATGGTAGCAATCTAGGGTGGCAAAATAGGGTTATAAAATATGGTGAGAAAATATGGTAGGACAATGTGATGGAAATATGGTAGGACAATGTGATGGATTAAATAAGGTGCTAAAATATGGTGCCTATAACAGAGTATGTCTAAACATGCGGATGATATTGTAACTCATTTTTGCACTACTTCTAAATAACATCAGACGATTTTTTTGGAATAGTTTCTATCACCCCCCCCCTCCTCCTAACCCCTCCACTTCTGTCTGTCCCATCACCCTCCCGCACAATCCCTCTACGTCCCCTTCCCAACTTTCGGTCCCAATCGTCAAAATCTGTAAGAAGAAAAAGCCTAACTTCTTGTACGTCCGCACAATAATAGACCCGTACTTCACCCACTTCCCGTGCGTGGTGCACTCTGGGACTGCTGAGAAATTGTACTCAATAAGGGGCACTGGACAGCTGGGATTGGTTTATAATGGGAGTTAGTAGGGAAAGGGAAGTGGAGGGGGATGGACGAGTTCATTTATATAGGGGTGTTTGATAAAAGAGAATTGTAGCAGGGGGTAAAGTAAAGACGAGTCCATTTTCATAGGGGTGTTAGATTAAGAGTATATTTACTTGCGAGGGTGGGGGGATAATATAAAGATAGTTCATTTTAGTGGGGGCGTTGAGTATGAAGACAAGTTCGTTATAAAATATGTTACGGGGTTGATGCACTATCGTTATGTGCAGTCTGATTACTTGTCGGACCCTTGTAGTGATCTGCCCCTGTGAGTGGTCGTCCCGTCTCCCGTACGGCCACCCACAGGTCAAATACAAGGCATGGCAACAACTCTCTAGTCCATTCGAACGTAACTAAAATCGAAATGTCCATTGTTTCCGTACTGATCTATGTTTAGTCTAGTCATGTGTATCGTTAACCCTATGTCAACAGTCTAAACACCCCAAAATGACCAAATGCACAATATAACATCATTTTAAAAAATTTCCACGTAAAACAACCAAAAACTAGTGTAGTAGTGTAATGAGTTTGTATTAGCGATTTTTTTTTATTTACGCAGTTTTCTGTTGCACATTTTTCTGTTTGCGTAATTTTCGATTGCGCATTTTTCCGTTTCGAATTTCTGGGAATTTTTTTGGAATATTTCATCCAGTAGTAGTCTCTTACAAATAATTAATGAGTTCTTTTGCTAGCAGAAATGTAATAAAAGAGTTAAGGTCAATGCTCAGATTTCTGTAAAAATTATGGCGGTAGGGATAATTTAAACGCTGTAATTAGCAGATGATATTACTTAAGACTTTAATATCTCATTATCGAGTCTTGGTAAAGTAAAGTTCCCCTTCTAAACCTGACGGTCTATGGGGCAAGTGAAGTAGAGTTCATCTGTTTCTGTGACCTCGGCAAATGAAGGGATAATGTGGTCAGCACTACGGCCAGCCGTCTTTACATTCACTAACTTGAGTTAGGTACCCATCAGAACTGGGTGGACTCAAGGACGGTCTACTAACTTGAACCCGGATTCGAACTCGAGTCTAGCTCTCTACCGCTACGCCACTCCGTCCCTATCAACTCTTGGAATTGTGGTTTTAGGAGGTCCCTGAGTCCACCCCTTGCTGGGTACTAAGCGTACTTTGAGGGAAAGTAAAGGCGGCCGGCCATAAAGCTGACCACGTCATCTCTTCGTTTCATGAGGTTAAGAAACTTATCAACTCTATTTCATCTGCACAATGGATTGCTACATCAAAAAGGAAACTTTATATATATATATATATATATATATATATATATATATATATATATATATATATATATATATATATATTTATATATATATATATATATATATATATATATATATATATATATATATATATATATATATATATATATATATATATATATATATATATATATATATATATATATATATATATATATATATATATATATAGGTATGAACGATATATTTGAACTTCACATGACCAAGAATATACACATACATACGTACATATATATGTATATGTATATATATATATATATATATATATATATATATATATCTTCATGACAGTTAGACAGCTTCATTAAATGAGAGAGACAGATAGCTAGTTAGCAATTTACCTCGATCTTGACCAAGCTTTCATCTCGTCCATCTGTTGTTTGGTTTGTTGAGTTGTCCGTCTCAGCCTGCAGGTTAGACGAGAAGTTGATGTCCGGGTACAGAGATAACTCCCCTTTCAACACGGACACATTCTCGTAGAAGAGTGGGGGTGGGGTCGTCATAATGGCGTCAAGGTCATTTCCGGTGTAAATATATCTCTTCTCTTTCGTGATGCGCGTTGAACAGCGTTTTATCTTCGTATATCCATGATCATTAAATTCAAAGTTCAGGGTGTCTCGTGGGTTTAAAAAATATATTTTCCCCCTGGAGGTTGGAAGAAGCAGACGATATAAAACGGCAGACGTAATTTCGTTGAAATCATTAAAAAGCTGGAGCAACGTGACATAGAACGGAACAAAAAAAATTGTGTTGCAATGTTTTGGAGAAAGTGATGTTGATTGCTTTTGTTGGAGTTTGTAAACTTGTTGTAAACTTGTTGTAAACTTGTTGTAAACTTGTTGTAAACTTGTTGTCAACTTGTTGTCAACTTGTTGTCAACTTGTTGTCAACTTGTTTACTAAGACTTGTTTCTGTACAGTCTGTTGAAGAGAATTAAAGAATTATAAAAATAATTAGATCTCAATTAATTCTAAATAAGCGTTAAATCATACTCTACTGTGCAAGCAAATAAACACACACTCAATATATATATATATATATATATATATATATATATATATATATATATATATATATATATATATATATATATATATATTATATATATATATATCAGTGTGTGTATTTATGTGTGTGTGCGAGGGTGTTTTGCGGAGGGGTGTCCTGTAAAATGTTATATAACGTCTAGATATTTTTTTATATTTTCTATAGGAGTTCACAATCGCTTAAACCAGCTCATATGATCAGTGCACAAGTGTCAAATGAGATTTCTCTGTCCTTGTACGTGATGTGGTTTTCAATGGGCGGGAGTACTTTGGGAGGGGTGGGGGCGGAGTATGAGGGTTTTAGGGGAGGGGGGGGCGTGGGGTGGGGTGGCTGTCAGCATTGAGTACGAGTACACTCGACCAACATTGGTGCTGATCAAATTGCCGGCCCTGAGTACGGTTAAACGCTAATGCTGCTCTCCCCTGCCGGCTAAATATCGTCTTGTCTCCCCTTAATTAAATCCCGAGGCATATCCACACACACACACACACACCTTACCCCCCCACCCCCAACCCCTCACATACAGACCCCACACACACCCCGAAGCGAAGTTCCAAATTTTTACCACGATTAAAAAATTGGCATGAAGCCTCATTCATATTTTGTATAGGTTAACGAACGTGAAGATAACCACGCACGAACGATAACTCATTATTTGACTAATGTATTCACACTATGAAAGGCGTATCAACAAAGTCAAAACAAAACACACACAAATCAGAACTATCAGACAACGGATGAATGTTAATAAGTTACGATGTTTATACATTAATTTCAATGTAGATATGTTTTACAACATCACTTAAGTTAAAGTGAATAATCTCATAGACTTTTTAAAAGTGTGATCAAAATAATCCTTTCACCTAAGCACAAGGCGACTAAATGTCTTCATCAGCAATGTATAAATAAACTATATTACCAGAAATAATTATTTTGCTTTTTACGTAGATTTGTACTTCTTTCTTCTTCTTCGTTGTTAATTTTTAGTGTTGGAAGAGATTTCATCCAACACAATTAAGTATTACGTGTCAACTTGTTTATGCGACATATAGGCAGTGGACTCCAACTTCAGCCTGCTTTTCTTTTTGGATTTGCTTCCATAGTCTTTGTCCAACCAAGAACAAACTACAAGGCAGCAGTTGTTTAATTTTGGAGTTGTCTCTCCTAGAAGTGTGGCTGTCCCCAGCTATCAAGCCTCATCTGCCCCGGGGTTCGAACTCCGGTCTTTTTGGTTCAGCAACAATGAGCTTAACCGACCAAGCCACGTTCATAATACAAGTTTTTTTTATAAAACAATTTAAACAAACAAAGATAAATTTTGTAACATCGATTAAGTAACATAAGCTAATTGCTAACAAAACATTTTTAACAAGCTTGATGCAAGTTAACTTTCAAGTACTCATTCTAAAATCACGTGTTACCAGTGTATACTCACCCATGACGTGCATTAGCGGGCAGGTGTGAGTGGGCCACAGGTTGATATACACGTGGGTGGGTGGGGGGGGGGGATGCGGGGTGTCGTTGCATTAACCCGCGCCATTAAACTAACCAGATGATGAATGGTTTGTTTACTTTAATTACCGTTGTATAACACATTAACCTACACTTGTTCAGACAGATATACGCCACGTGAATCTATACGAATCATGATTGGTTTAATTAAGCCACGTGACACAACGCTTAATCTGATTGGTTTACGGCTCAGGAATCTTCACTTATCCGATATTTTTAGGTCATATGATCTTGTTTTTATGAAAGGTTTACGGCACATAAGACTAAACATACAAATTTTTCAAAAGCACTACCAACTTCAAATTCTCCCAAAACTTTCTTCAACTAAATCTTCTTCCATAAGCACCCCAAAAACACATTAAACTAAACATTCTCTTCCCAAACCCGTCCAAATAAACATTCTTTCAAAAGCATATACAGCTGAACATTCTTGGAAAAAACATCTCTCGTCCACGCTTCCTTCAACTAGCACCCTCCATACAGATTTCAAAATAGCATCCGCCCACGCTTTCTTTAACAAACACCCCCCATCCTCTGATTCCAAAATAGCATCCACCCACATATTCTTCAAAAAACACTTCCCACCCACTCCCTCTCCCTTATGCACAACCCCCACCCCCCACCCCACCAGTGTATCTAAACACACTTAAACACGCACTTCTCCCATCAAGACACGGGCCAATTGAGACACCACGAGTCTCCTGTAGTCTCTCTAAGCACAAGTTATTCTTTTTTAAATCTTACTCGTTAGTTTCTAGCTTAGTATCACCTCAACACTGATCCACGTTAAAAATAGGGGGCGTTGTAAATGGGAGACAGAGAGTTAAAATTCTGGAACTAGTAATTGCCTCGACAGGTCGTAGATGCTATTATTGTCATGCCCCAAAACACCCTAATCCTACCCTTACCACTAGCTCTCGCACTGATCCTAGTCCTAATCTTGGCCCTAATCCAGACAAAACCCCTTAACTTTAATCTTTATCTGAACTTTAACTTTGGTGCCAACAGATAGATATAAATATTAATGAATGTAAAAAAGAAAGTAAGTAGAGCACCTGTTTCTGTGACCTCGGCATATGAAGGGATAGTGTGGTCAGCACTATGCCCAGCCGTATTTTCATTCCCTAACGTGAGTCTGATATCCATCTGAGTTGGGCGGACTCAAGGACGTTTTACGTAATTGAACCCAGATCCTAACTAGAGACATTCGGATTAGCAGTTGTAAATATGCTGAATAAGGCCGGATTCGAACTCGAGAATTTGTGCTCAGTAGTCTAGCGCTCTGCCACTAGGCCACGCCGTAACACACTAATCAAAGCATCAGTATTTAATATAAAAAAAATTAAGTGCAGTAAAAAAGATTCGTGCTTAACGTCACTTCAAGATGTGTATTCGTGTATAATTTCTATCAACAAGACCAAACTAAGTTACAAATGGCTATACCAGATGTCCCGTTCTAATTTTACTTTTTTTCTAACTCTAAACAGTATTCAGTAAACTTGATTCTAAATAACATATTTTAAAGCAATCAAACGTGAGTGTATCCTTAGACGGCAATGACATCAATCTTGTGGGTAAATGGAACTCACTTTTGAAACCGGAGCTCTTTGCTCTAGACCAGGGGTCTCCAAACTACGGCCCGCGGGCCGGATGCGGCCCTCGTGGTACTCTCATCCGGCCCGCGGAGATCTTTTTGTCCACGGAAAAAAACGTTTGTTGGTGATAGCTGAGGAATTGTGCCCAGAAAAATCAAAGACATGCCTGGTAGAAACTGGCCCCCGAACTGAACTTTGATAGTCAATGCGGCCCTCGGGCTGAAAAGTTTGGAGACCTCTGCTCTAGACATATTTGTATAGCCCAACATATATCTTGTTTGTTTCTGATCGCAAAGTATCACTAATTAAAAATTGTCGACATCAAACATCTAAGTCAAAACTGTTTAGAAGAAGTATCAAAACTTTTGTGTATGACTGTCTCACGTTTTAGCTTTCGTACTTGTTTGACCTCCGCGTACTAAACCTCAGGAAAATTAAATTTTAGTCCAAGTAATTCAGTTAACATAACTCTTGTAATTGGATAATATTTGTCTCGATGGCGTAACTATGAGGGGTGCGAGAGTGCTTTACGCCCCAGGCATGTCGTTAATATGACCCTGATCGAGCGCAGCCCCATCTAATTATCCCTCGATAGTTTAAATCTTTAAAAAATTTAAAGCAGTTCAACCGTCCAAATTTTAGACGGCCGTAGACCGAGTAGATGGCCGTCCAGTTTCTATAAGGCAGGCATATCAAATTACGGCCGGAACTCGTATAATCTCAAATCTACCGCTGGTTTAATCCGGCTTAAAGGAATTATTTCACGCGCGATTTAAATTCTGTTTGCCAACACGCTGAGCATGATAAAGATTCTGTAAGCATTGGCGGTCTTAGACAGGTTGGCGTGCTTCAAACTAAGGATCTGATTTTTCAGACGTTCCACCTCATCCATTCTAATGAATGTGTCAAATTGAGCTAAAGTGTCTTGCACTGAGGTTGAATGAAACGAAATTCAGACAATACATTTCAAAATATTTTCTTTGAATGTATTATGTTTTACTGTTAGAAATCTAAACTATTAACAAAAACTGTGCTTATTCCTACGATACCTTAATATAATTATTTGTCTGTATGTTTCTTAACGTGTATTTGTATAGGTACAGGCGGATCGAGAGAGAGAGAGAGAGAGGCACGGAGGCCTTTCCCCCCTCCCTTCTTTCCATATATTAATATATATATATATATATATATATATATATATATATATATATATATATATATATATATATATATATATATACATATACATCCCAACCCCCCACCCCTCCCCCTATCTCAACATAATGAAATAAAAAGCAAGATCCACTGATGAAGATTTCAGAAAATATTCTACACTAGATGCCCTACAT